GAGATAACTGGCTCCATCTGAAACGTAGTCTGGTCTGTGTTGTCCTGCTTAAGTAAAGGTGGATGTTCTGTGTAAGAATTATTCAGTGGTTTGGTTTTTTTTTCTTTATTTCCCTCCCCCTTTTCTTACAGGTTGGGCCAATGCCTTGGCTTGGTCCGCAGACAGACGAGACCATTAAAGGGCTGTGCCAAAGAGGACAGAAGAACATGTTGTTGGTCCCCATAGCTTTCACAAGTGACCACATTGAAACGCTTTATGAGCTGGATATTGAGTATGCCCAGGTTTTAGCAAACGAGGTAAATCTTTTATAGTTTTTCAAACTATTTGGATGGTGCTGCTCCAGAATTACTTTTCCTGGCTTGCAGTTTGATTTGTAGTAGCTTTTTGCAATGTGATTTGGGGCAAATTTAATTTTTGTGTGAATGTAAAATTAATCAGAACTGGCTTAATTCAGATTAATTTTTAGCAACACAAAATGGGTGGGAATTTGTCTTTCTAGATCTAACTCTTTAAGCCACTGCTGGCCTTAATAAAAAAGAATCACCGATTTTTGGCAGCAAATTGATACATTGCATCATAGTTATTTTTGCTGTAAAACATGTATCACATTTAACTCCATTATTTTGGGTCAACTTCTGAATGAAATAGGAAAATTTTGAAGGCTAACTTGTGAAGGATCTAGCAGATTTAACTGGTTTTCTCCTTTTTTTCAGTGTGGAGTTGAAAATATCAGAAGAGCAGAGTCTCTTAATGGAAATCCATTGTTCTCCAAGGTATCTTTTGTGCAATAACTGTAGAAGTTTGCAGTTGTGTTGTTTCCTACTAGATTATAGATGTCTGCTTGTAATTTTAAAGTGTTTAAAGAGCAAAAATGGAAACCCCTGTATTTAATCTATATACCAGAAAGTGTTTTTGTTTTATCAGTTTGTGTTTTGATTTTTTGTTGTTGCTGTTGTTGTTGTTTTTCAATGTTTTAAGAAAGTTCAGAGGTTTGGTTTGACAAAAAGGAAAACAGTTTTGTATTCATTAGTTCTAATCTTTTAATGAAATATTTCTCTGAAGATGTTGTGCCAATGCAGTTTTAAAGCAGGATTTTTCCCTGGAGTAAAGGGGGGTTGTGCTTATAAAGTGTGGTCTGACAGATATCCAGTTTGACAGTCTCACCAGCCAGTGTGACTCACGTTAAAGCATTTCTGTATTTTATACAGATGGGTTTGCTCACTTGATTTTTTATCAACTGTCTTTCAGGCCCTGGCAGACTTGGTCTGTTCACACCTCCAGTCGAAGGAGGTCTGCTCGAGGCAGTTAACCCTCTGCTGCCCGCTCTGCGTGAATCCCATCTGCAGGAAGACTAAAGCCTTCTTCACCAGCCAGCAGCTGTGAGGGGCAGTTGGGGCTCCCCCGGGGTGATACCCCAACACTGCAGAGCAAAGGAAGGAGACTGCTGGCAAACTCTCCTCTCACACACTCGTGGGCTGGTGGTCACAGTGACGTCAGCCTCACGGAGCAGTGAGGAGAACATGACTCTTGTTTTATTTTTTTCTTATGCTTGTTTTGTTTGAGAAGAGTTTGTAGAAGGTAGGGAAATAAGGGTGTTTGCTCTGTGAGATGGGAAAAGATCTCGTTCCACCTGATTCCCACTGGACTTTGCAGGAGCCCATAAGTATGCACTGAAAAACTTAAGAAACCTTTTCTACAGATTAGCCATTTCCTATGCAGGGATTTATTTGTATGCAGTTTTGTCACGAGCAGGTTGATTTCAGCTTTCTAGGTCAATATAAGATTATTTGGTTTGTTTACGCTTAAGGAACAGTACAACCAGCAGAGCCACCCGTTGTCTCTTCTGAGAGTGATTTTTTCAGATGGGTTTGAAGATAGAGTGATGCTTTTTAAAAACGTGTATATTTTTTTAGAACATAAAGATAAGGTTTTGTTTTGTTGTTTCGTTTTGTTTTGTTTTCTCACCAGAAGCTTCTGGTGAAAGCTTAGCTGGGAGAGTAGAACACACAAGATTTGTTTACATTTTCTAGAAGAAGCACTCTTGTTATCTGCAGGAAAGCCTCTGCATTTGACGAGCATAAAGTGAAAGGAGGAAGCCTGCTTGGGTGATGCTGAAGAACCCGCTCGACTGAAACGACCTGTCTGTGTTTCAGATCTAGCAGCACGTGTGGAAACATGTTGGTTTGTGCTTTTAAGCAAAATGGCTTTTAAAAATTGTTATCAAAAAGGGCTTTTTCTCTTTGGTTTGGTAAATTTAGGAAGTCGGGCTTGCTCTCCAGAAGGTTTATAGATCTGCTGTGTGCTTTCTACTGTGCCACAGTGCTGTGGTTTTTGTGGGCTACCTTTGGAATTCCACAGGTACCACTGACCTAGCTTAATTGATGTTGTTTAGAGCTGAGATGATTAGCCAGGAGTAATTTACACTGCTGGTGCTTGAGGGAAGGCAGCCCTGGCAGCTGGGTGCCTGCGCATTCCTTGGTCGAAAGATGAATTTTATCTGTTAGATTTTTGGCACTGCTCATGAGCCAGGAGTATGTGCTCGTAACCCAGCCGAGGTTCTTGCTTGTTTTGCCTCGGGACTGCTGAATCCACTCCCAGGTAGTGGTAGTTTTGTAGTGAAAAACCTTTTCAGGGCAGTATTCCCTCACTGTCCACACCGGGACCGTGTCCAGGTTGGTCCTGGGGTAGGAGGGGGCTTTTCTGAAGGGCTGGTCCCCACCCAGCGTGCCTGAGCTGGGCACCTGAAGTGGTTTGGGGCACGATTAGCTCACCCCGCTGTCAGTGGTCCTCTGCACAGGGGCCTCTCCTCTGGGGTGGGGCAGGGGAGGAGCGAGGCTGTGCCAGCGTTCTGCAGGACTGAGCCATACCTGTATTAGCCTAGCTGTCAACCTCACGGGTATCACGTTTACTTGATGTAATTAGCACTGAAATGAGCCAGTACTTTGGCAATGCAGGTTGTTTCCTGTCAATTGGTGATCCAGGCAGTTGTGATGCTTGAGAAGCAGATGCCATGCTGCTCAGTTTGATTTGCTCATGCAGTGGTGAGGCGTGAACAGCTGGAACCTCTGATCTTTTGAGGATAGGGTTGTTTAAAAAGAAAATAGGCCTCTGTTGGTATAACAGGGGTTTTTCTTGCTCTGTTTTATGGTGAAAGAGTTAAAGGTGGGTGGTAAGGAGATGAACGAGCAGCCAGTGGGCAAAGCACCACCGTGGAGCAGTGCAGATCCTACTGTACAGCCCTGCCAGGGCCCGTGGCCTGATGGGGTGTGAGAGTAGGTTGACGAGGTGTCTCCGCTGCCATACCTCAGCTTCTGAGAGTGACTGTGGTGAACACTCAATCCCCTTCAGTGCCAGGACCACTGGTGTCACTGGGGTCCCTTGTTGCTTCAGTAGAAAAGTCTTCCTTGACCTGTGCCTGTTTCAGTGGTGGGGTGCTGGAAGCTGGGGCTTCTGTTCTCCCTTTCCTGCTCCCTTCCCTGACTCTGCTCACTGCCTTGGCAGGAAACAGGAGCACAAAGCCAATTCCTGCCCTTGTTCATGTGGAGTAGGTGGGGTTGTTGTGTGTTTGCAAGGTGGTATTTCAATGGAAAAGCTCTGAATCAATGTCAAAAGAATAAAAATGTCTGCAGTGTATCTGGGAAGGGAACACTGGCCTTATGTCTCCCATTGGACAAAGAACTTCCTCTGTTCCTGTTTCTCGGCGTGATGTTTATGGGTCAGTGGAAAATCACCCATTTGGTAAAATCTTCCTGTTTATACCTCTTTCCTGCCTTGAAGGGTAGATCTAGGTTGTGACCTGCACATTTAGAAGTGTGGCCAAAGCTGGAAAGTGAAGGTTAACCTTGTATGGACATTGCAATACTATTAAATACAGCTTGGCTTTTTATTTCCATGCCGGAGAGAGTATGGAAAATATTAGCTGGCACTAATTGTGAGGCGTTACGTTTGTTACCAGTAATAAAAGGTATTTAAAATTCACTTCTTAGTATGCTAACCACAAGTGAGATAATTACTAAGCCTGTTGCTGCTGTTAGACCATAATGTAGAAATCACTTAATTTTCTAGCTTTTAGCAGATGGATCTTGTCTCACAGGGTTGGCGGGGTTCTTTGTTTTGCTGAGCAGGTCACGTTATATTGCTCTGTCCTCCTATTTAACCCACATTATTGGGACAGGGCAGCATCAAAAGCCTGTGCAAAAACCACCTGAGCAAGTCAGTCTGCAGCTGTGCTCAGTGTTTTTGATAGAAAAAGAGAGAACAGTGAGACTAATAATGGGGGATTCTGCAGCCACTGAAATCTTCTAATCCTGGGGTTTCTGTTTGGGAGCGTTTCTGACTATGATAACGGCCAGTGGAATTCATTTGACCATTCTTGAGATGCTTCCGATCTACACGTCAGCATCTGAGCTGGTCTGAGGCCCTGTTTATGGCCAGGAGGTTTTGACAGGTGTGTCTGAGGCATTGCTCCTCTGGCAGCCTGTCCCCTGCAGGCTGGCTGCGTGTCGCTGCCTGAGCCGGAGGAGCGCGGAGCGTGTCCAGCATGGGGAGAGATGCACCCCGTCCGTTATGTGCCTTCTCAGCCCCCGCCGGTGCCAGGCTGGGGGACTGCGGTCTGAACCCTGTGGCTGTACAGGCAGGACTGTGGTCTGCACCCTGTGGCTGTACAGGCAGTTTGGCCCCTGGCAGGTTCTAAACCCTTGGTGCTACCAGCTCCATCGCCGCTCTGGCAGACCCCGAGCGCTTTCTGACGGTGGGAGCGATTCGAGCCTGGGCAAGTGTCACCGTCTGGGAGACGCTACCCCGACAATAGTTTGATTCTTCTGGTTCTCAGTTACACTCCTTTAGCAGTACTTTGTTTCGTCTGCAAGTGTTTATCACTCATGCGTGCCCTGACAGAAAGCAGCCCCTTGGGAGTGGGCTGGAGCGGCGTATTGCGGCAGCCTTGTCTCCCAGGAACGTGCTGGTAGGAGCCTCTGGCTGGGCTGGAGCGGTGGGGACGCAGAGGGGATGTGTGGTGTCACTGTCCCCGTGCCCAGGCTGCTCGGCCCTGCAGGCTGAGGGGCTGTGCCTGGCAGCAGGAGTGAGAGCTGGCGAGGAAGCCCTCGCACCAGCACGGCTGGCCGCAGAGCCCTGTCCTGGGGGTGGCGCATGAAATAGAGAGGGGGTCAGCAGGAGCCCTTGGAAAGGAAGTGAAGGTGTTTACAAATGGGATGTTCTGAAGAATTAACTCATTGCTAGGCTGTTCTTATTTCACTCTCTGCAATTTTTTGTTTGTTTTGTTTTTTGTTGAGTTGAAGTTTTTATCTTTTGGAGTTTATGAAATCTCACTGGCTGCATTTCAGAAAATGTGATGGCTTCCAAAAGTGGTGCTGTGAAAGGTGTGTGGATAGTGACTGTGAGCTGACCTGCTCCCCCAGGGAAGAGGGTGTTACACTGAGTTCGGGGGGCCAGGATTTTCCTAGGAATAACTAAAAGCTCACTTCATTTTCCCTTTCTGCCACACCCAGAGGCTGGAAAGCAACATGAAGTGTAAGGTGCAAGCGAGAGAGAAGTTGATTTTAGTCTAACCTATATGTATCTCAGATTGAACAAGGACTTCCATTTAATGTAACACAAAAAATTTGTATAATCTTGACTGTGTATCGTTTACCATAAAGGTGGAATTTCAATTAAATTTTTTTGAAGAAATAACTAATCTCTGTGTCTTTAAGAGCCTGTTAGGATGGCGTTTGGTTGTACTCTCAGTTCCTTTCCTTTTCTTTTCTCTGCACCAGAAAGCAGAAGCATTTTTATTCAGATCAGCAGTGAGCTGTGGAGCTGCACATCCCTGACAGAGATGGTTCAGGCTGTGTCCAAGAGGCTCCACCTCCGGGTGGCTGTGGCAGGGAGCTCCCCAGATGTGCACCAAACGCTCCACTGCATGCCGGGGTCAACCAAGCCCCGTGTGAGCACTCGGCCCGAGGCACCAGCATGGTGTGGCCTGGAGCAGGGCCTCCCTGGGCACCCACCAGACACCCTGCTCCAGCCCCAGGGCTGAATCAGCGG